GTACATACATCCTCACACAGACATACAAGCAGGTAAAACACCAATGCACATAAAAACTAGAAAGAAAGAAAGAAAGAAAGAAAGAAAGAAAGAAAGAAAGAAAGGAAGGAAGGAAGGAAGGAAGGAAGGAAGGAAGCCAGGCAGTGATGGCACATGCATTTAATCCCAGCACTTTGGAGGCAGAGACAAGCAGGTCTCTTGAGTTCAAGGCCAGCCTGGTCTACAGAGAGAGTTCCAGTACAGCCAGGGATACACAGAGAAACCCTGTCTAGAAAAACAGAACAAAAAAGGAAAAAAAAAATAAAGAAAAAAAAACATCTGCTTTGAACATGTACACTTCCATCATTAGTCCCTAAAAACACAGTATAATAACCATTTTGCATAGATTTACAGTATATTAGGTATTGTAAATAGTCTAGAGTATGTTTAAAGTATATGGGAAGCTATATGTAGTTTATATGCAAATACTATGCTACTTGATACAGGAATTTGAACATTTTCAGATCTTGGTATCTTCAGAGAAGGGTAATGGAACCAATTCCCCAAAGCCCTGTGAATACTATGAATGTGTAAATATATCCATAGAACATGAATATACACATAAATATGCATCAGTGTTCTTTCAAAGTATATCTGCTGGAACAACTCTCCCTGAGAACTATCTTATCAGATGAAGTTAAAATCTGCACTAAAAACTGGAAAGAACAGGGGCTGTAGGGGATGGCTCAGGTGGAAAAGTGCTTGCCTAGAAAGAATAAGGACCTGATTCAATGCTCCAGGAGCCAGGTGAAAAAGCCGGGCATGTTGGCACATGCTAGCAGTCCCAGCCTCGGAGACACAGGGACGAGACCCTTCGGGGTCACAGGCCAGTCTGTCTAGTGTGATTAGCGAGCTTCAGGACAGAGACCCAGGTTCCTATGAGGTAGTTGGTGATTCTGAGGATAACACCTCAGGTCTTCCAGAATACACACATTAAAAAGTACTGACTATAAATTCCAAGGCTTTGCTTCATTTCCCTACCACCAAGCCCAAGATCTTTTGAGAAGAATGTGTTAAAAGTATTTCTTTAAGATGAAAAGAAGCCTGGCAGTGGTGGCACACGCCTTTAATCCCAGCACTCAGGAGGCAGAGGCAGGTGAATCTCTGTGAGTTCAAGACCAGCCTGGTCTACAAGAGCAAGTTCCAGGACAGACTCCAAAGCCACAGAGAAACCCTGTCTCAAAGAAAAAAAAAGATGAAAAGAAAGATAAACAAGAGTTTTACTATTTTCAAAATAAACCTGAGGCTGGTGGTACAGCTCAGTGGTAGAGAGAGCAGTTTTTCCTAGCACATACCCAGGGTTTGAGTCTCAGAAGTCCACAAAAAATAAAAATAAATAGAGCCAAAGAAACTGGTCAGAGGGCAAGAACCTAATGAGGATGCAGCTCCACTTAAAGCTCTAGGAAGCAGCACCACTGTGAGCACGTTTTACTGTCGAGACCAGAACCGAATTTTACTTACATACCTTCCCTGTCAAAGAAGCCTTGGAGAGCCTTCTTTGGATCCTTTATATAAAATGCCTCCCGGTCCTGTTGAAACTCTAACGCAATGGGGTTCTCTTCAGCCTCGTCCTCTACAGCATCTTCTCCTGAGGGGAACAAGAAAGAACACAGATGAGAAAAGGATATGTGAATGACATGCATGGTCCTTCTAGACCAAGTGATGGTATAATTAGAAGAGCTGGCACAGTGACACACACCTGTAATCAGTACTCACGAGGCTGAGGCAGGAGGATCCTAAGTTCCAGGATCCTGACTACATAGAGATAATGTTTCAAGAAACACACCCACACCCATTTATTTATCTATATTTGAAAGTGATTAAAAGAAAGATATTTGAGGGCATGGGATAGAACCACCACAAATTATAAATACACACATTAAATTGCCACACATTGTTCCCATGGCAATTTTTTTTCTTTTCATCACTTTAAAGACAACATTTACTTACTACACTTTGAAAAAGCACTGAGCTGTTTAGCCTATCCTTTATCTCCTAGTCATGTCTTACTCAATGAGTAAGACATATAATTTCTTAATAATTCTCCTGTCTGCAAAACAGACCCTTAAAACCAATAGTCTCTGTGCTGAACATGACGCCACTGTGCAGCTTTATTAAGACTACTTTTCCTTTCCTTCACATTCTAGCTTGAAATTCTCCTTTAAAAACGTATAAAGTGGGATGGCAGGTAAAGCTTCCTGCTGCCAGGCTTCACAGCCTGCTTTTGATCCTTGGGACCCAAAAAGTAGAAAGAGAAGATCCAACTCCTACAAGTTGTCCTCTGACCTCCAACACCAACACAAAAATTAAATAACTGAATTTATAGTTTTCAAAAGATCTAAATTAGTACTGTCCAGAGAAAGTATGAATGTTATGAGTGGAATTTTGAATCTGCTATTAGCTACTTTAAAATGGTCATTCCATCCTAATAATCAATACAATAAAATGACAGCAAATAGTTTAATTCTTTTTTCACTATCTTTGAAATCCTGTGTAGTCTGCACCTGGAAGACAGGCTAGTTTGGATGAGTTAGTCAGACATATAGACAACACCTACCACACTGAACAGCACATGTCTAAGTTCCTAATGACTGTCTCCCTTTCTGACACTAACTCCAGCATGCTAAAGGTTTCTAGCTTACTCTTGACACTTTGCATAGTAATTTTGTATTTACTCTGTCATCACATTTATATCTATAGGTCACACACATGCAAGTGCCACGGTGCACATGGAGGTCAAAGGTAACTTGTGGAAATCCATTCTCTCCTTCTACCATGTGGGTCCCAGGGATCAAACTCAGGTCATCACAATTGGCAGCAGACACCTTTGCCTGCTGAGCAATCTCATCAGGCCACAACTGATTTCTTTTTTGGTTTTTGAGTCAGGGTCTCTTTATTGTAGCTCTGGCTGTCCTTAAACTCCATAAGTGGATCAGGCTGGCTTTGAACTTAGAGAGATCCACATTGTCTCTGCCTCCTGAGTGTTGGGATTAAAGGTGTGGGTCACAACACCCTGTTAGCCTCTGACATCTTTTTATAGACCCGAGTATCCACCCTCCAAAATGTCTGGTGCTTGTGGATATATTCAATAGTCTCTTGAATTTTGTATACTTTGTGAAAATGGCCTGAAAGGTAAAATATCAAATGCTGATTTCTTAGCCAAAAGGAATGAAGTAAATTTTCCATGCCCTCCAGTGATAATTATTTAGCACCTGGGTGTGTGTGTCTGTGTGTGTGTTTAAATGATGAAAACAATAAGCAAACTGTATGATGAGGAAGTGTATGTACATTGCCCACAATTCAATTCATTTTTTTTTGTTTTGTTTTTTTTGTTTTTTTGTTTTGTTTTGTTTTTCAAGACAGGGCTTCTCTGTGGCTTTGGAGACTGCCCTGTTAATAGCTCTTGTAGACCAGGCTGGTCTTGAACTCACAGAGATCCACCTGCCTCTGCCTCCCGAGTGCTGGGATTAAAGGCGTGCGCCACCAATGCCTGGCAATTCAAATTTTTTATGTCACTAAAGTTAATGATCCTGGGCTTTGGTTACTTTATTTGCAAATTATGTTTGTCCTACATCTGTATCAAAGAGCCATGAAGAGCTGCAGATCACAAGCATTTAAGGGCAACACTAGTAATGAACTCAGAACTTTCACTTGCAATGTCTTACCCATTCCCCACGTGCAACCCATCTCATCATCTTGTGCACTTGTATTTCTCTTCCCTTCGGTGGTATCTGTTTCCTCTTCTTCATCTGAGTCTTCACCCAACATCTTCTTCTCCAATAACATCTGCTGCTGTTTGCGCAGTTCCTTCAACTGTGTTACTGTTAACTCAGATTCAGCCTCTCGGTCTTCCTCTGGTCCCTAATGAATCAAAGGGGGAAAATATACATATATGGAAAAGTTATTTTCCCAGATACAGCAATGCACACAGGCCTGTGGGTCCGAACTGATCCCTATGCTTTTGTCACTGGTGATTGGGAGAATCCTTTTTTCTCAACTGAACCTTAAAGAAACTCATAATTCCCAGCATGGTGAAGTCCCAAGATTCTTTAGATTTTTCTACTTACCTGAAGGATAAAGAGGCGGGTGCTGCCTCCAAAGCGAAAAACGTGCCCGACGTGGACTCTACAGTAAGTGCGGGGCGGGATGCGAGTTTTGTTCAGGAAAGTGCCATGGGTACTTCCCAGATCATAGAGATAGAAGCCCTGCCCATGACCGTCAGACTCTCCGTCGGGGTCAGACCCCCGGTGCTGTAGCACCGCATGGTACCGGGACACGGAAGGATGCTCCAGGCATATGTCACAGCTAGCGAGCCTCCCGAAGAGGCAGCAGCTCGCCCCTTTCAAGGTGCGGGTGCCAAGGATGGTGCCACCCTTCAGGGTTTCGAGACTGTAGGGGGCCGTGGCTGGGCTGCCCCACGATGGTTCTTGGTATGGGGGAGGCCGGGCTGGACCGCCGGAAGCAGCAGCTACCCGCGGGGATCGGAGCTGCTCCGCCGGAGGAGTCCCAGTCTCCCGGCTGTCCGGCTGAGCAGATGGGACCTCGGGCTCCCTGCAGCCAGGGTCCAGCAGCACCGTGGGACATTCCTTCTCCGCATCCTCGGGGACTGAGGGGCTGGAGGCTGGAGCCTTACTCCGCACAGCTGGAGGCACCGGCAAAACAGGCCTCTTAAACTGGCTACTGGCTTCCTGAGGTGCTGGCGGCTCAGACTGAGAGTGAGTATCAGCCATCCTCAGCCGGGTACAACCTCAAAATGTGTCCCTCCGAAACCCCGGCCGCTCGCCCTCCACGTTCCTTCGCACGTCTCTCCTTCCCAGCTTCCTGCCGCTTTTCTGGAGTTCCTCTTTCAAGACTCACCGAGGTGTTAAGATGTGAATAGCCCCAAAGGGGGTCACAATACCAGGGTGAAAAAAGCTATCGTGTTGTTGTGTAAAATGCGGACATTTTTAGGCGTTGCAACCGGCTTGTAATAACTTCCTGTGGCACAGGGAGATTGAAAAGAAGCGCTTCCGGCGGCCTTGGACCATTAATCAAAAAACTAGCCTCCTAGGTTTGATCCAGTCGTCGCCTCGGCCCTGTCAGAGTCGGACAGCTGCGTAAACCGCTCCTGGCACACGGCGGTGAGTATTTGAGCCTTATTGTCGACTTCAGGTCCAGAGTTCCCCATTTTACTGCTGCCCTGGAAATCAGACTTCTAGGATCCTGTGACTGACGCTTAAGCCTGCTGATCACCTCCCGAACTTAGCCTTGATACCCCTTTTACTGCTTTTATGAAGTTAGGGAAGAGGGCAATTTCTTGTTATAACTAATACATTCTTTTATTATTCTCGGAGCGAACTAGTGAGGCAGCAGGTTCAGTGACTTTATGAAACTGGGCACTGAAACCCTATTTTCTCTTTGACGCTTTGTATTTATGACATTGTCATGACACTGGGACACAGCTTCCAAATCTAAAAAATTAGAAATAGTAGTGTTCCTTTTTTCACAGCATTGTTGGAAATCTGAACTAAAGAATAGTTTATACTGTAACTTGTTAACAGATGTCTAGACACTATACCAAGATGGTAGCCGCAGCTGATTAAGTCAATTAAAGTTAAAGTCCAGGGATAAATGCAAATTGATGTAAGACTACAAAGAAAGGATGTATATTGGGGAAATGTTGGTTTCAGTTATACTAAGGAACAAATTCAAGTCTGATAATGATGTAGAGGGTGGCAGAGGATTCCTGACAGAGGACACAACTCAAAGAGTCAATTATGAAAATGTCTGATGTTCTCAAGAAGCTGAGTAGTGGGGCTGGAGAAATGGTTCAGTGGTTAACAGTGCTTACTGCTCCTCCAGAGGACCTGAGTTCAGTTCCCAGAATCCACACCAGTCAGTTCACAACCACCTTTAACTCCAGCTCCACAGGGATCTGATGCCTTCTTCAAGTCTCCTTGGGCACCTGCATACATGTGGGACACACACACACACACACACACACACACACACACACACACACATACACACACACAATAAAAGTGAAATCTTAGCATCCAGCAGTGGTGACACACACATTTACTCCCAGCAGGCAGATCTCTGTGAGTTCAAACCAAGCCTTGTTTACAGAAAGAGTTCTAGGACTACACAGAGAAACCAAAACAATAAAAAATTAAAATAAAATCTTAGCAAAGAGAATAAATTGAGTATTAGATGGCTCAGCTGGTAAAGGCACTTGCTGCCAAGCTTGACAACCTGAGTTCAATCCCCAAACATACATACATACATACAAAATAAGTAAATGTTTTTTTTTTTAGAGAAAAAAAGAAGAAACTGAGTAGCATGATATTGTTAGAATTAAGATCATTTAATTCAGGAAGCCCCTCTATGTGCCTGCAGGGAACTGACTCCATGCGTGCCTTTAGTGTAGCAGTTACTGCATGCTACTGTACTGAAATATTTTGTTTCTGTTTCTCTCACCTCAGGACACAGAGCCTGCACCTTCACACAATGTCTGGTGTTCAGTGGGTGTGTACTGAACCTGAAGAGACATATAAGCAATGAATCTGGAGAAACAAATTGAAGACAGATTGTAAGTTTTATTGAATGGTAAACCACGGAATTCTGACTTTTTTCAAGAGACAACAGGATGCATTCAAATGGGGTTTGTCTGAGACAAAGAGGCAAAACAAAAAAGCAGGCTGGAGGTGTGGCTCAGTGATAAAACACTTGCCTAGACTGTGTGCAATCTTCTGTACCATAAAAAGAAAATGAGAGAGCAAGCCCAGCAACAGCCAGATTCTGAGAAACACTAGAGGAAGGGATACTAGTCAGAAGACAGCTGCAGTCTCAACTTCAGACTGGGGAAACAGCTTACTCTATAATGTACTGCCATTGCAAGCATGAGGACCTACCTGAGTTTCATTCCCAAAACCCATAGAAAAAAACCCAGGTATGGTTGCATGTGCTTATAAACTTAGTTCTGGGGAGGCAGAAACGGGTGGATCTCTGGACCTCCCACTGGTCTAGGATGATCAGCAAACCCTAGGTTCCAGCCAGAAGTCATGCCTCAAAAGCAAGATAGAGGATACCTGAGGAACAACACCGGCTGGTCTCTGGCCTCCATGTCTGGAAACACACAAAGTAACACCTCTTG